ATGTGTTCGCAATGAGTTTGTCCACCAGCCTGGACAGAACGAATGAATACTAAAACACAGACCCAGATAGGATTTACGAGGGGACACTCAGTTGGGAGGGTGGGGATGGGCTGTGCGTTGGAAAGGCCACTCATTACACACCCTCTCGGTGGAGTCAGCAAATAAGTGCTTGCAGTTCGTGACCAAAAGAAATTCTGCCTATGAAGAGATCTTAGGAAAGAAACCATGGAGCCATTATGGGCTGTCATGGTGATAATCTCATCTATAACTAATTCGTCCGACGAGTTGGCCCAGGGAGGCGTGCATGGTGCTCAGGTGCACTAACACGGGGTCCCCAGGTGCCCACGCCCCTGGATCGGCGCGAGCTGCGGGAGGCGCAAGCAGGACCCAAGGAGAGGGAAGCAGGTCGCAGGCATCATCACCACCACCCTCATCAAGAAACCTCTTTCCCAGTCCTCCCCAACCTGGTGCCCTCCAAGGAACACTTGGGGGAATTAGGGGAGTCTCCTTCCAGATGCGTTAGTTTGCATCAGGTCAAGCAAACCTACCTTGTATTCCCATTCCATGGGAATGCACCCACGGACAGATAGTTTGTTGGACTAGTTAAGGTAATTTCCCAAACCATAATCTTCAAAGATTTAATGCAGGTGGGGAGTTGCCAGCCATGTCTGAGGGTATCTCTTAAGTTTCATAGTACCTTCAGAAGATGGTACAAATGCTTCCTAATAGTTTACGTAATCTTATACACAGAATATGAAGTACATCATTGACATAACAATTAGCTCACTAAGACTTCCAAGGCTTGTGTCAAGTTATCTGGGAGTCAAGTGAAGTTAGTCTGGGTTACTTCTGAGTAAAGATGTACAGGGTTGGATGATAATTTGACAAGCAATTCACTTGCACAGGTCTACATAGGCCCAGACTTGCATAGGACTACCGGTCTTTGCCACATGCTCAAATCACAACTCACAACCAAATTCAGTATGTAGCCACTCCTATCCAGTTGTGATGGCAGGCATGTGCTGCCATCATGGCCCAGGAGATGGGCCCCCTACAACCTGAAAAGGAGATCTTTCCATGTGACGTGACGTGGCGGATGGGGAAACATGGGTCCAGGAGCCATCCCATCAGCAAGCCTCTACTTGCGCCACCTAATCACAGACTTCCACCAAAAGGAACATTCAGAAATCAGAGGTGGCTCCAACTCCTATGCCTGGAGCCTCACCGCCTCACTCCTCCAACACAAAACCAACCCCAGAACCACCAGGAGTACCCAGAGACACCCCTCCTACTGCCACGCCACTTCCAGGGTCAGCAGGAAATCCCCATCCAACCGGAACCAGGGCCTACAGAGCAGCCCCCAGCCCTTAACTTCAAGCAATTTCTCGGAAGGGGTGGAACTTGGAACAGCCACCTGACTGCAGGGCAACTGGGAGTCACAGTACCCTCGTGAAACAACATCTCTGTTTGGCATTTGTCTCGTATCAGGTGCCTGTCTGGAACGAGCCCTACAGTGAGCTGTCCATGGTCCTGACCCCTCACAACCTGCCTTGGACTCTTGTGGAGCACAGCCAATACAGGCCCCAAGGGGTTCTTATACTATTAACAATTTGCATGATCAACGTTATTTGATACTGCTCCATCAGGAGTGTACAAGCAACATAAACAGGTCTCTCTTTCTAATGACCGTACAATCTTAATAGACTGTGAGGAAACAGGGAGGAATAGAAACAAGACAAGAAGAAACTAGGGGGATGCAACGAAGCCCTAGGCCCAGCTCAAGAAAGAGAGCAGTTTAATAAGTACAAGACAATGCAGCAAGCATCAGCAGAAAGCAGAAAGCAGTAGGGGAAAGAGCACTTCTACACACTGCTGCTTCTTCTCCAGGAGTCATAAGGAGACATTAAAAGTGATGACAAAATTCTACACTTGGATTAATCTCTTACTCACTCACTCACAAAAACACACCCATAGAGATTTTCTCAAGTGCTTCGGACAAGCAGAATTTTAAGAGGGCTGAGCAATTTGTCAAACATTTCAGGTGCCAAATTGAACCTTTTTGCTGACAGAAGCTGAGCCCCATCCATTTATAAATATTCACAGCCAAGCTCCAATGTATGCCTGCAGGAATACAGCTAAGATCAAACTCTGGATCTGTATGACTAGCTTCTTAAGTTTCCACAGGGCTGGCATTTCACCAGCAGAGGAACCGATAGCAGCCTAGACCTTGAATTTCCTTCCTCCTGACCCCATCCAGTTCACCCATGCACAATCATCCCAATGCTCCATTTCCCATCTTTTTATTGTTTTCAGTTCTGCTGCCTGGGCCCCAGATGGTTAAGAACAGGTTTGCAGAATGCTTGAAGAGATCAAAGGCAGGAAAGGTGCTCAAGCTCTACCTGATTTCCTTACCTGCCCATCTTCTGACCAGCCTTTGCAGGTAGGCATGCATCATTTCCTCGTGGACCTAAGAAAACTAGGACCTCCCAGTGGAGCCACTGAAATTGGACACAACTGGTCTGCTTAAGGAGACTGCTTCAGGCCATTCCTCGCTGTACCCAGCCATTGTTCCAAGCAAGTCTTGTTCAAATCTTGACCTGAAGTGGTTATTGTGTTGAGATTGGCCATGTTGGCTAGGGGTGATGGGGGCTGAAGTCCAACATATCTGGAAGGCACCAGGTTGGAAAAGGCTTCCCACTGTAGCCCTTAACCAAGCGTAAGTGCATGTGATTACCACAATCTTTCTTTTTATCCCTCTGCCTCCTCCACGGCCCATCCTTTGCGTCTTCTATGTCACATTTTAGATCACGAGTAAGTAGACTTCTTGCTGGTGAGCTCAACTTCCTTTGTTGTTACTGGAATCCTGAGACCCACAAACAGTTGCATGGTGAACAGGACGGACATTAAGAATTAAATAATTTCAAGCCTGGCGGATCTGTACGGAGTAGTGGGACTCAGTGGAGCCATTATTAAAAAGTCACTCCAATCTCAAACCAAAGAACACGGGATTTGCATGGCTTAATACACATGGCCCTTCATAATCTTGACTTCAATGTTGTTCCTCGAACCAAAAGAGAAGGGACCAAAGGTTTCCACCAGCGAATATCACAGTATGCATTTGGGAGCTCTCACAGAACAGATCTGATTAAATGTATGCTTTAAAGCTGATGAACTTTCAGAGTTTCTACCATAAATAAAAGCACATCATGAATAGGGTCCTAAATTGTACACAACTGAAAACTGCAAGGAAGGCTGAATTCTGCTCTCTAATTAAGAGCATTTTTACAGAGTCACCCAATGTGTGAATGCCGCCCTCCCCGTTCCCTGGCTCCATTTCAGGAAATAATCATTACTAGCCAGAAGAAGACAATGTGAATAATAAGAATCCCTTATGGATATCGACACCTAAGCACCGACATTGTCTAGTAAGCTGCAAACATCACACCCGGCACAGCTGCTTTTCCTCTCCCCTGTTCAGTCTGCCCATTTGAACAACCGACACAAAGCTCTGGGTTTCTCATGAAACTAAATGCACGCACACACTAAACAGGTGCTTATTTCCTTGTTCCCTCCTTCTCTGCAGCGTCTATTTTGGACTCTGTTTTGCAGCACTGCTAGCGAAAGCACGTGCTCTCTCCACGCCCCTGCACGCATCCCCTGCCACTATCACCAAGAGCAGACAAGGTCTCCACTGTGGGGGTTCCTTTGCCAGGATGCCTGCTCCTTCCCATTTGCCCACCTTTCTGTAGATTCATCAGTGCTTGCTAGGGTATTTAATTTCTACACTGTCCAAGAGCCAAGTTCTCTGGGCAGTTCCCAAGAATTCCTGAAAAACACACAACCCACAAGAAACAGCTCCCTCCAACGTCAGGGACGACCCAACCCATTTCAGCACATAATATAACAGATGGTCACCCTTCCGGTTCTCCCTTGCCTGTGCCACATTCTTTGCCATGATCCATCATCACCGTGAACATCAGAAAATGTGAACATGCAGAAGCAAGATTAGATTACAGTGTATGAATAAATATCTATTTTAAAACCTAAGTTATCTGTTGCTGCCTAGTAGATATGAACCTACATACATGAAAAGATAAAGTATTCATAATTATTCAGAGCATACGGAATATTTGTTTTTACAAGAAAACACACAAATATTTGACTTAAATAAAAAACATTTGTTTACCCTATCTGGACAGGTCTGCACCTTCAACATTGCCAAGAGTGGCACCATAATCATTGTTCATCAAGATGTGGAGATTTAATTTGGGCTCCTGCCAAAACAATCACCCCCGGGGTGCTACGGTTTCTCCTCACAGATCCATCCAAGATATTTAACAGCTGCAGGGATCCAGGATCTGTGCCTGGCATGTTTCCAGCAGTTTATTAAAAACTATTAAACTGCTTTACAATGCCACCAAATTGTACATAATATAGGCATATTGGGGTATGCCTCGTGGGTATGCCCTTAACAGCTGTTTGAAAAATGCTCAGCTATAATGGTATATAATGAATTGTTTAGTCTCTTGGTCATGCTTGGTTAGCCACTTAAGCAGCAATGCTATGCATGTTTAGACAGAAAAACCTCTACAGTTCCCAGCATTCCCCAGCATGTTTCTCTAAACATGCAAACGACTACACCTGTCTAACTAAGGTCCCATTGATTTCAATAGGTCTGCTCTAAGTATGATCAAATCTGACTCCAGCCCAATAAATTTGATATTTTTGCCAATTTGATGTCAAATGGAAACAAGAATTTGAAAAGCTTGACTATCTCAATATCTCACGTCACAATTGTTTATATTTATGTACGTACACAATATTTCTCTTTTGTATATTGTAGAACAAAAAGTTTTAAAGCACATTTTTAAATCTTGTCCACATTGGGAAAAAGGTTATTTCAGAAGGTAAATCCAGAAAACACCTAAAATAATTAAATGTTGGCCTTCAAAATGAGGTAGATCTAAATCTTCTGTTTTTATATAGTAAATAATTCTTACCTCAATTAGTTTTCGTTCGTAAGAGTTTGCTAGTTCTTCATTATTTTCTCCTTGTTTTTGCTCAGGAATAGTGAACTCGTTCTCTGAGTTCCAAAGAGTGGGAAGAACTGAAAACAAAACAAAACGCATAGGATGGATTTAAACTAGAAATTAATTTGAGTAGAAAATGAGTTCGTCCATTTAAAAAAAACTTTATATTAGAAAATGCAATGCAGAAGTAAAAGAGTGAATTCAGTGTTAATATATATTTTAAAATGCTTCTTAATGTGCTCTCACATCGCGTAACAAAGGAATGGAGAATCTGCAGCTGTCTGGATGCTGCTGGACTATGCTTCGAGCATGTCTGATCACTGGTCATTGTGTCTGGGACTAACGGGAACTGGAGCGCCTTATCAACCGAAAAATATTCAAGATATCAACAAGTGGTCTTCCTGCACATCTTACGAAAAACATCAGATTTGCTGAAGCCAAAGGAGAATATTGGAATGGAAATTTTATTGTTTAGTCCTTTACAGTAATTTTACTCTGCTCTTTGGACAAAAACAGGTTCACAGAGTGGCTTGCTGCTGCTACTCTTCGCTTCCTCCTCCTCCTTTTTTGTATTATGTTAATAGCCCAATATTTGTCCTACAATGGTTTCAAAAAGGCACACACAATTCCCCTCCTCTCCACGTTATCCTCACAACAACCCTGTGAGGGAGGTTAATCCGAGAGTAAGGGACCGCCCCAAAGCAGCATAAAGAGCTTCATGGCCAAGTACGGACTAGAATTTGAATCTCCCAGTCCCAATCCAACCAATACACTATCCTCTGGTTTTATCATCACACTAACCCTGAAAGGTAGGTGAGGCCGAGGGTCAAAAACATGCCCAACCTCACCCAGTCAGCTTCACAGCCAAGAGGGGACTAGAACCCAGATCTCCTGGAGTCCCTGTCCAGCATTCCAACCACTACACCACACTGCCTTACAGAGATTAATACTGATATGGCCCCTGCCTTCAGGCTTGCAATTTCAATAACCATATCTGAAAGGAAAAAGGGATTGGGAGGGAGGAGGAAAACACAAGCCTCAGCACCAGGTCCTAGTTTCAAGGTTCTTACGTGGGTCCTTTCCAGCAGGAAGCTGCTCCTTCTCTGGCTGACGTGTGCAGCCAGGCTGGCCCCTGCCTGGACATGATGCGCTTCCTCCTGGGAGGCAGGGAGGGCAGACCCCAGTGGCCCATGGCTCTCTGCTCAGCGGAGGCAGTTGCAGGCAGCCGCCAGCTGCCGCTGCACAGTCCTCTTTGCAGAAATTGAGCTCCGCAGCGGCTGCCTCTCTGGCTGCAGGAAGGGGCCAGGTAGGTGCCCCTCACCTGCTGCGCTACGTCGCTCCTGCGGGCGGGCCCTGGGCACTGCCTCTCGGTGGCCTGCAGTCGTACAGCACAGAGAGAGCAGAGGGCGATTTTCCACACTCACACACGCCTGACCCAGTTATAAATCGCTCTCCAAGCCAGGGCGCTCAACCGACAGCCCAAGGTAGGAAGCACTTTAGAAATGGTGCTGAAGTGGATTTGACAAGCAATTAGGCAGCTGGAGGAAAGCAGGTGGCCCATCAGCCCCGGCAGCTCGGGCAGTTGCACAAGACGTGGAATGAGCTCCCGCTTGGCTCGAGGTGCTCCGCATCCTGCTGCCAACAGCCGCCTCGAACTAAGTTTGCATTGCCCCAGCAACCCAAGAAGCAAGCAATTGGCGCCAATTAGAAATTACCTGTGCTTGTTGACACCTCTCTGCAGCAGCTTCTATCAATTAGCAGAAAGTGGGTCAGCTCCAGCAGCCCCCACCCACCCCGCTTTTGTAACCGCTAAGCCTAACAGGCAACAGTAAGAACTGTGACACACGGATCCTCCTGACCGCCCCTGGCAACCAAGCGCTGCATCTGGGCAACAGCTTCCCAGCTTTTATCTGGCGTCAGCAAAGCACCTCTTGCTCAATGGATGCCGATCCTGTTTGCACGCCAAAGTCTCAACTTTCCCAACTTGTTCCCAAGAAAGAAGCCCACCTTACACGACTGGGAAAGAGCTTTACTGGTGGCCCACACCCGGTCCAGCTATTCGCTGCTGGTGGCCCTAGCAAGAGATGCATTCCAGTTCTGACAGGTTGCCCACTTCTCGAGCAACTCAAGAAGAGCTGTTTTCTCAAGCAATGGCCACATATTCCTGAAACACAGTCCATCCTTTTCAAAGGGTCATCTGTTGCCCCAGATAACCTGGCAGTATTTTAGCTCATACACAGAAAGAGCAATCCTTCGGTCCCTACCCAACACCTGGGAGGCCTTAGAAAATGTGGATCTCCGGTCCAAGGACAGAGACGGGCCCTCAACCTCGTTGCTGGGGATCTGCATTCCAATGCTCTCCCTCAATGCAGCCAGCAAAGACAGAACAATGCCGGGTGCCTCTCCAAGACTCGAACCGTGACCTTAGGGGGGGGGTCAAGGACATGCTGGGGGGGGGGGGGGGAAGAGGAGCCTGGGCCCACCAGGATGCAAGGTATTCTGATGGCTCTCCAGCTTCCATTGCTCAGTCAGAGGTGTGGAGACACGGTGATGCCCTCTGCAGCGCCTCCCACTTCTGCACCGGATGTTCACAAGGCCCTGGGGTCAAGGGCTTAAGGGCATCCAAGGCAGAATCCTATGGACTGGGCCCTTAGGAATGTGTGCTTGGTTACCACCAGTGCTTTTTTTGTTAAAAAAAAAAAATGGTGCTGGAACTCACCTCTTGGGGTCACACTTTTACACTAAAAAAGATTTTCAATTCACCAACCAGTCACTCTACACACACATAAACATAACGGTCACCACCAGCAGTAAGCACTCAGCGCATGACCAGATGACCGATCCCAAGCTGAGCAGCGTCCCGAGCCGAGCAGCGCCCTCACAATCAGCACGGACACACAAGCAGCCGGCAGGCACTATGTTAATGAACCTGCTACGCCTGACAGGGCGATTCACAATCACATGGAAAAATCCGTCAAAAAAAGGTGCCAGAACGCCATTCCAGTGCGTTCTATGACAAAAAAAGCCCTGGTTACCACCACTTCCAGTGAAAATGTGAGCTTTTACCACAAAGGAACGCTTTAAGAACCCGGCCCAAGGCATATTTATAGCCCACGTTCAATCCAAACCTATTGTCCTGTAACACCAAATGGGACATTTTAACCATATTCAGGTGGACACTCTACTTAATACCAGACCGTGAAACCCTGAATGTTCTCTTGCGTCCCTGCTGGCCTCTATATGGCTTAGGAACCCCGAAGCATCTCAGAAATAACCACCGGATGCGATCAGACAAAATTGTACATATGAGGAAGGCAGGTAGATCAGCTACGAGTTTTATTTGCATGGGGATGAGATTCAAAGTCAGCAGGACAAACACCAAAACAACACAAATGATGTTATAATGCTGACCAAATGCTCCCAAAGAATTATTTTCCCCCAAGGAAAACAAAAGTGATAAAACGCAGAGGATCTGCTGGCCCATGGCAGCTCACGCGGACCAGAAGCCACAGCTGGAGAGGTTCCTACGAGGAAGAAAATAAAAAACTCGCAGGCAATCTGGTGGAACGCTGATAAAACGACTGGCAGCAAAAAGGGGGAAATACAAATTCCACACTGCACTCTTTGATAAACCACTTCATCTCAATATTATAGCATGCTACCCCGATTTTCTTCCAAGGCATACAGATGGTTATTGTCTCCCTCCCAAATCCAGCATTTCGCAATCAGTTTGGTCCTTTAAAATCATCTGCCTCCAGTATTAAAAGAAGAACTTGGGAAAGCCCACTTCTGAATCAACATGCCACTTTATTATGGTACATTATTCACCAACACCGCCTAGTAGCTCCAGCCACACTGGCTCCCAAATGTTAATGACGTTGCATTATCTGTGTTTACCAACTCCAGAATGGATAGAAACACACACTTTAAATGTATATAATATGAGGAAAAATATCCTCTAATATTTATTTAGCCCAAACTAGTGTAGATTCCCTTTCGCATGGGAATTCTGCATAGGGCAGAACTGCCTTCCCCAGAGCTAGTACCCTCCAGATGTACTGGACTACAATTCCCAGCATCCCCAGTCAGCATGGGAGCAGCATCTACCAGCTGGGACTTGCAGTCAAATATATCTCAAGGGTACCAGTTGGGAAAAGTTGTAATGATGCGATAACCATGGCAAAGGCACATGAAGAACCATGTGGAATCAGAGCACAGGCCACCTAGTCCGGCATTCTGGTCCTACACTGACTGGCCAGTTGCCCATGAGACAAGCACCCACATGACTTTAGTGCTACAGCACTCTCCTACCCATGTTCCCCAGCACCAGGAGTACACAAATGCATTGCCTCTGATACTGGATTGATAGCGTTCTCCTTCTTGAATTTTTCTCATCCCCACTTAAATCCACCTGGATTGCTGGTCAGCACTAGATCTTGCAGAACTGAATCCTCTAGCTGGTACAGCATAAGCACTACATGAAAAAATCTTTCGTTTGTCTCCCACCAAGCTCTTTCATGGGATGACCCACTATGGACTATGGTTATGGTCACAGGACACACTCGGCATGCCAAAGGTCCCAGGTTCCGTTCTCACCACCTGAGGCGGGAGGCAATGCAGAAGATGTCTTCCTGAGATCACAGAGAATCGCTGCCGGTCAGAGCACTAGATCTAGTTTGCGAACCTTAAAGAACTGGTGTGATCGGTCATCTAAATTTTTAAAAAACAAAAATTCAGATTCAGCCTTAATCCTAATTCAGTAGTTCAGCGGGCAACAAGCAAAGGGTCTAAGGCAGGGGTCTCAAACTCACGGCCCGCGGGCCAATTGCCGGGACGGGCACGGGGGCACGGGGAGGGGCCCTGCGGCCTTCAAAGCACCAGCGGCGCCCGGGCAGTCTCTCCCAACCTAGTTCCCTTCAGATGAGTTGGACTGCAATACCCATCATCCCAACAAGAACTGTAATCAGACACCAGGGAACACCAGGTTAAAGCAGGCTGTCTTCTGACAGGGAAAACTCCAGTTCCAATACCCTGATTTATTCTGAGCAATATACTATGGCCACAATCAATTCTAAAA